CACCTCCACTGGAGGGCCTGTGGAGTGGGGGGACCACTGAGCTCTTGATGAGGTCCCGTCAGCCCAGCCTGAGGACACTCGTCATTGGACATTTCCTCAAACGGTCACAGAAGCTGCTAAGGTATGTCCAGTCAAGGAGGTATGCTGGCTTCCTTCACACAGAATCCTCTGGTTCCTGCCATCTTTGTCATGAGGCCATAGATGATGTGGGGACATGAAAGCCCGCTGACCCAAGTGGCCCTAGAGCTTGGCTGGGGGCCCCTCCCCTCCTCCACACTAGCTGTCAGAGATGCGGGGCTTCCTGGGAACACTCCACCCTGAGACAACACACGGCAGCTGTCGTCGCTCATCAGCCACAGCTAGTGACCCAGCCATTTCCAGCGGTGACTCCATAGAGGACTCAGCTGAGCAGCTGGTGCTGTCCTAAATGTCACAAACAGCAAGCCGGTGCAGAGAAGACATCCAGGGGCCACTGGTCTAGGCAACTTCCTGAAGCAGCTGAGGCAGGCACATCGTGCCCCTGAGACCGCAGGATGGCTGAGCAGCAGGGTCCCCTCAGTGGGCCTCTTTCTTTCTGCGCCTGAAAGAGCAGAGGGAGACGGTGACCTAAGAGGCTGCATGATGTGCTCCCAGCCACTGCCCCAGTGTCTGAAGCTTGGGGGGTGGGGCAATGGGGCCTAGGACCATCTTAAAGGCATCTTTATGCTGCTGTGTGGAGCCGAACACATCACCCATCAAAGATTCTCCCCGCCATGCTCTTCCTCCTATGAGGAGTCAGAGAGAAGCCTAAGCCGGGAGTTCCAAGTTATTAAAATCGGCCCAGATTATGAGTCCCTCCGGGAAAGAAGGCCAAACAAGCGTGCTTCTCATTGAGATTTGGGCACTTGCATGCTTCAGGAGGGACCTGGTGTGAAAACAAGTCTCGCCATGCTGCGGAGCAAAGGAGAGGTATGGATCTTTGCTCTAGAAACCAAATCAGTGCCTGACCATTCCCATTCCCTCACCCACTTAACACATTTTGAGTGCCTACTGTGTTCCAGGCTCCAGACTAGGAGCTGTCATTGTCACTGTCCTAGGGAGCAAGGCATGACCCTCACAGTCAATGGCGGCATGCATACCTTGAGAACTGTGTGAATGAATGAAACCCTGTGCCTGGGATTATGGAACAGACACCTACCCTCAGTATAAGGCAGAGAGAGAGTCCAAGAAAAGCTCCTCTGATACAGGGTGATGCCCCTAAGGAGCTAAGGCTTAGTTCATAAAAGGCTTGCCATGCAAGTGTGGACCAGAATTTGGCTCCCCAGGATCCATGTCATGCTGGGTGGACTCAGAAGGGACAAGAATGGCAGTTAGAGTGGGTTAAGGCTCTGGCAGCGCCATGGGCAGGGACCACTACCACTTTGGGACACTGGCATCTGGCATCTTTAGAAGCATGCAGGAACCAGGTGGATCCATGCACACTTGTCTAGGCTGGGCAGCAGGCAATGTGGCTGACTGTGTGCCCAAAGCAGTCTGAGATTGCTTGGAGATGAAGTGAGGGAGGATGAGAGGGCTACACTGTTTAAATACGTCATGGTTTGGAGGGAAAAGCTCTGGTGCTTTTAGTAGCAGACACATGATCCCCGCTTTTAGAGGGAGAAACAAGAAAGTTACTGTGGGTCAGGCATTCCGGTCAGCTTTTTTTTGTCATGCTGCATTTTTTTTATAAAGCGGAGATAAACTAAAAGATTTAGAGAGCTTCATTGGATTAACTAGTAATTCTAGTTACTACTATCCCTATATGACAGGTGAAGACACAGGTGGAGGTAAGTCAGGGGACTAGAGGAAGGTTATCCACGCAGTACATGGGTGGGTGGCTTCAGGAAAGGGTTCATCCCAGTAGCTGACCCAATCTACAACACGGTCATCCAATGGATGGAAACAAACCGCTCTGTTCTCATGCCATCTCATACACAAGGAGACCCTGTAGCAGGCAAAGCAGAGGAGTGGTTGGCTTTCTCTGCTCAGCTTGTTTCTCTTGGCGCAGTGGTTCTCAACCTTCCTAAAGCCGAGACCCTTTAATCCAGTTCCTCATGTTCTGATGACCCCCAACCATAAAATTATTTTCGTTGCTACTTCATCACTGTAATTTTTCTACTGTTATGAACTGTAATGTAAATATCTGACACACAGGATATCTGTATGCAACCCAAAGGGATCATGACCCATACTGGAGTAAGTAGTGTGTTTAGGAATGAACTCTTCCCAGACTTCTCCAGCGTTCAGGGCTGGGAGGCCCTGGGAATGGGTGGTTCAGTCACTGCCATACCCTCCATGGCCAGCAGAGGGCAGCAAAAATACATCTGTGCAGACTGGCTCCAAGGGAGTCTGGAATATCTCACACATGAAAGTATTTTCTTTTTAAATTTTTTATATTTGGTGTGTGTGTGTGTGTGTGTGTGTGTGTGTGTGTGTGTGTGTGTGTGTGTGTGTGTGTGTGTG